AACCCCACCGCCTCCCTCCCCGCCGCCGCCAACTCCGCCGCCGCCAGCTCCGCCCCCACCCGACCCGCCCCCACCCACTCCGCCGCCACCAACTCCGCCGCCGCCACCCACTCCGCCCCCACCAGCCCCCCGGACCCCGCTTTCCCCGCCGCCAAAGTCTCCATCGAGCAAACCTGCGCCAGCCCCTCCGAGATCCCCCCGGGCTCGCTCTCCCCCAAGAACTCCGCGCGCACCACCACCACCAGCAACGCCTTCCTCACCGCCGACGGCACCGATGGCCACTAGGCCCTCACCGCCCAGCTCTCCGCCGCCCAGACGACCGCCACCGTCACCGCGACCCCCTAAACTGCCGCCGCTGTCTCCGCCGCCGTCCTCACCGTCTCTGCCGTCCCGGCCGCGGCCATCTCCTTCGCCCCCGACGACGCCCCGCCCTCCTCCTAAGACTTCCACGCGCTCGCCGCCTCCACCGCGAGCTGTACTTCGGCCATTGCCACCACCACCCATGAAGCAGCTGCGCCCCTTGGCACCCGCGGAATTGGAGGTCGGCTTCAGTGGCGGCGAGTCAACGCGCATGTGGCCAACCGTCTTCGAAGATATTCCGCCGTCGCCACCTCGACGAATCGTAAGGTCTCCTCCACGGTCCGCGGGTAGCGGTGAGTTTGCCGGGCGCTGTTGCTCGCTGAAAGCTGGAGGAGAGCCTTCAGGAAGGCTAAAAGAAAAAATGAAGAAAAATATATGATTATGTGTCTAGCATTACTGGCACATAGGATGTCTCTGTTTATGTGTGTTGAACCTTCTGGAGTTGCGTTGCCTTCTCGAAGGGAATAACCTAGGGGCACATACGAGCCCTGAGGGGCACTAAGGGCCACTCCAGGCTTGCCTGAATAGATAACATGAAAAACGAAGAAGAAAGATATTATCTTATCGCTCAACATGAAGAAGAAATAATGTCGGAACTAATTGAACTACCCAAACTGGTATGCCGTAGCAGTGCGCCTGCCTTGTTTATTTGCCAATTTCAGCTGCCGGTAAACCGCTACCATCACCACATCTCCATAGTCTGATCCACCTGAATCCCGATAGAAAGACCTTGCATGTGCATTATGCTGTGCAACCCAAGAGTACATGCCCTTCGTCTTTCACGGCTTGGAGCTCGTAAACTGCAGATCCTCTGCTCACGTGCGATCCTTCATAACCTCTATTTTTTACTTAAGCGGCCAGCTACATGAACGAAACCGCGTCAGCAACCGATGCATATCAATAGGAATAAACATATAGGTATGCGGCAATCAGCAGCTTGACCCTGCTGCTTTCTCAAGGGCAATCTTGTATTACTTTGCATCTTGTATTACTTTGCCATTTTATTGATAAAATAGTCTTGTTGCTTCCCATCCGAGGCTAAGTCATGCTGCCGCACGCAGGTAGCGTTGAGGATATCGAGTGTTCGGTCGATGGGGGTGGCACAATTACGACGGACAACGAGCAATTCCCGTTTGGGGATTTCAAGAGTAGCGTCTGTGGGTGCAGCGCTTCGCCGTACGGCATTCGTTTTGGACCTGAGATTACCTACAGGGGCATGTAAGTGCGTAAGTACGTATGTATGTATTCAATCCTATCATAACTAATGCGATTGTAGTTCATTTGGTCACAGCACTGCCCATGTTATTTTTTATTGTTTTCAGTAGAGTACGTACTGCTGCTCTCCGTACATATGTTTCCTGGCATTTCGCCGCAGCGACAGTGCCGTAAAAAGGGGAACATCTTTTCTCAGCCTAACTATTCATCCTTCCAAAAAGCGTGTCCCTCCCAAAAAGCGTGTCCGATCCCACCGTACCGTGCACGACGGGTTATCACTGATTCGGCTTCCTGGAGCGAGGTGGACAACTGAATTGCGTCCACTTTTCGAGGGCAACACGGCTTCTCGCTTTCTGTGCAAGTCTTTGCGCCCTGCTCCCATACGGGCGCGCACATTACGAGTATTTGAATTGCTTTATCCATACCAGTGCATGGTGCGGCTTCTCTACTCAAGTCATTTTGAGGATCAGGGTATAGGTCTTCATTATAAATCATTATTTTTATTCTGCCCACGATGCTCGCCTCGGTGGCTGATTGCAGGACTTACTACAGTTTCCGCCTTTACAGAAAGAGTTGTGACACGAGCCTCTTCGCAGAGGACGCTCCCGTCTGCAGGTTAGTGCTGCAATAAGAACAAGTCATTTGATGAGAGGAAGAAAAGATCAATAGAGAAATGCAACGACAGAGGTCTGCTACAGTTTTGTCTTCCTTCGATTAAATGAAATTATTGCGTTACGAGTCCGTCGGTGCTTATGTTGGCATGTGAAACGCAACTCTCTCGGCTATCTGTTCTGACCTAGTCTACTGCGGTGTCGGCCAGACCTGCCGGCGCGCCGCGTTATCCACGGGACGAACATGCGCCGATGCAGCCGGTGCCGGATGTCGAGCTCGTGTGAAGCCAGGGACATGCTAAACCCGATTTTCGCCTTAGGTTGCGTCCCTACTTTTGTGCAGCTTGCGCTGCGGAGTGAATGATGAGCTCTCCCCGGGCAGCTGTACTTATTTGTCAACCGTGCTGCCGTACGACTCTTTTCATTTTCCCTGTAGTACGATTAATACGACCATAAACAAGATTGCCTTCCGGTACGAGGCGGCAGCGGCACAATGCTTCGATATGGCATTGCCGACCGTGGATTTCGGATTAAATTGGAGGTGAGGTCGCCATGTTTGTTAAGAGACAAGAAACCACGGTAGATCCAAAAGCGCCAGATCTCAGATCGCGTTGCACATGTGTTGAATTATTGATTGCTTCGTTTTGTTTCGCAACAAAAGTCAGTGATGCGCTTTCCTGGTCGTAAACGTTTGCCCTTTGCAGGGGTGTGCGCTTCTGGCCAGACTCGGAGCCTATCCTGCCCACGTCCTCCTGGCTTTCGGCCCGCATCGGTAAGTGGGGATATTGTTGGGCTTTCCTTCGATTGACAACATGCATTTTGGCAATCACTTGCGCATCCAATCCACTTCTCCTTGATCAAACGTGCGTAAAGCACGGTCTGAAATGTAGGCCAGACACTTCCCCAGGGGCGTCTTGCATCCCCTATTTCCCGCACCTTGGCCTTGGCCTTGGTCTCCGCATACGCACGTGCGCCATGCAACTCACAAACCTGGGCGGCGCCTATGATGTCTGAGCACGTGGATGTCGAACATTTGTAGGCTACTCGTATGACCTCAATCACATCGAGCTCTTCATCTACGGGCTGAAGAGAGCCTACACCGACGGCACTTTCCTGATCACTAAGTGCGCGGCGCTGGGTTCCTTCAGCAACGTGTGCAAAGATACGTCTGAGGGCAATTGCGTTTTCGCGTTTGTTGACACTCCCGGACACCGGTTCGTAACCATTTGCAAGGCCCAGGGGCTGCCCGCAATCTAAATACTTTCGCGCCTAGCCTAGCCCATCTCGTAAATCAACTCACACACTAAATCTTTTCTACGATTTCTAAGAATAGCTAATGCAATACGGCTAATCCGTTGTGGCTTATGCGATGGCCGCCGGCCACGACGGCAACATCGCGAGCGATGACAGGCCGATGATATGTTAATGTACAAAACTAGATCTTTGGTTTGGTCGCTCGGGGACGGGGTGCTTTGACGCGAACATCAGGACATAGAGCAATAGCAACATAGCCTAGTTGACGCGGGAAGTATGGTATTGCCCTAGCCAGTTTGGTTTTTGAATGGTTCCAGTAGCATAATATCTCATAAGTGTTGCGCATGTTGAGGATTCTGGATTCGAAAACGTATTCTTAGGCCTTCGGGCTGCGCGCAGCGAAGGTAGGAGCTGCAATCGCTCCCCTATCGAAGTACTGATGGGCTATCAAGCATGCGGCCTGAACATAGTCTTTGGATTTCATATTGCAACCTGTAGGGATTGCGGGCATGTGGGTCGTTTGGGAGCTTGGGTTTCAAGGACTCTTTCTTTAGTTTTAAGAAAAGCTGGACCCTGGGTCGCGAGCCGAGGGCTCCGCAGTCGTTCATTTCAATTAGCTTTCTTTTTCTCTTTCTTGGGTAATGCAAACAAGCGAGCGTAATCACTAGTGGTCTTCTTTCTTAAGGGTTTTAAGGGCGTGGGTATTAAGGTGATTCTTTTGGGGGTTCCACTTGTTTGCGCAGCGAGCGTCACTGTAACGGGTGCTATATCGGGTCCGGATTGCGGGATGAAGATGATTAGAGCACGCTGGTATATGCCTCCTAGTGTATAGTCTTCCACCGTGTTCATCAATTGATTAGTGTGCGTGCATTCGGCAGTTCGCAGGATTCATAGTATTTCGTGAACGCGGCGAAGAGACAGAGGATACCTGCTGCTGCTGCTGCTTGTGCTCGTCCATGGTCAATTCTCAATTCTCGCTTTCTGCCCCTTAGTATTGTTGGAGGTTCGGCGCCAAGCCCGTCGCAACGTCAAGAGATTGTGTACGGCAATGGCTATGGCATCTGCCTGCAGGGCTCGTTCGCTCTCATTCGCTTATGATTCGCAGCATGATAGTGGCTGTGCACTTGATGCATGACTGGTGTCCTGGCTGCTAAGCATAGCATCCTCGATGATTGTGTACGAACAAGTCTGGCGCCTGTTGTGGTGTAAAGAGCGTGGTGGACTTAGTTTAGTACGTATCTGTACCTAAATATGTTGCTGGCATGAGAAGCAGTGTCGGGCAGCACGTATGAAGGGGGTTGCAACAGAGTGCCAAAACGGATATATGCCGTCTACACAACGACACCTTGTACGAAGAGAGTATGTGGTCCAGAAATAGCATGGATCGGTTTGATGGGTATGAATGGCGAAATTGTCACAAGGTGAAGCACAGACCGTGTTTGATCGAAGATGTTGGGATTCAAGGTGGTTGAATCTGGTTACTCTTGCCAATATCTGGTGGCGTTAAGGGGGGTGCCTTGCCTCAGTGGAGGTGTTAAAGGAACTGGTGCCCTGGGTCTATGTAATGTGTTCAGCTAGCGGTCGATGCTTTCACGCAGCTTTAGTGTAACGATGGTTGACACACGCAAAACAAAGCATAGAAGCACTACGGAAACGGCAGTAGAAGACAGCAAACCAACTGGTACCCACGGCATGAGATGTGTGCTTCGCCGAAACGTTACAATGCAAAAATATATTAAACAGCAAGGCTGTACCTCGATAGCCATGCGACATGTATGTATACGCGTGGATTCCAAGAAAATGATTGCGAGTAATCCTCAACGGCACAAATTAAGCTTGCAGTTACGCACGATACATTACTATTGTGATTTGTGCACGCTGTGATTGAAACACTGGATTGAAACTTGGATTAAATATTTTTATGTTACTCCTTTAATTTTTGTATCCTCATATTACAGATACTGAGATTAAAACTGTATTCTTGATTGTTGAATATCCTTCTCGACTTGTGTTAGGTTACTTACTTTCAACATTTTGTTCGTTTGTCCATTCCTAACCTTTAAACATTCAAATATATCTACTCGTCAAGTGAAGAAGTGGAAGTTATTGTGGAAACAGAAGCACGAGGTGCTGTTTCGCAAGCTGATTCCTGCTGGTTTGCGAGCGGACGAAAGAAATAGAAAGAGGAACGGACAAGAACGCACAGGGACACCATGTCTAGTCACGAAAGACAGAGACACAGCTTCGTGGAACTGGCTCCTTTTCGAAAGAACTCCTCGATTTAGCCCGTTGTCGTCCCTAAGTATTGCCGTTTACGACGTAGTGCCGCCGTGCGTACAGGGTCAGCAGCCGCGATCGAAGGTGGAAAGCATGAAGTTGGTGAAACGAAACAGTCGTAGAGGACCCTAGAGGAGAGGATGTTGTGTAGGGAGCGCACGCTGCGAAAGTGGTGAAAGGACACGACGATTGAGGAACTACAAGGAGATCGACTCTGAACTGCACCTGCTAAGCGGGTTGAGGATCCGGCATGCCGTGTTGGATACCATCGGGCTCAGCAAGCATTACTCCAGAAGTTTATTTACGGGGACGGCACAACGAAGCAAAACAGTGTCAGACGTTTCGGCGCTTGGTAAACGATGAAAGAATTCCAAGGCGCTTGGGGCGCAGGCCATGGCGGGTGCATGATGACTTTGGTTGTATTCTAGCAGAGGGTACCTAACTCTTGATGCCTATCCGTTGATTCACTTTCTATGGCTCAGGTAATGGTATTTCACGGGCCTGCCGGTAACATAGGTTTCAGCTGGCTACAGTCCCATCCTGGTACTTCATAACTTGCTCTTATAAGCCAGCTTGTAAATCATCATGAAAACAGAAACACAACCTTCACGGAATAAGATTGAAGGTAGAATTTGCACTCTTGACTTCTTGCAGGTGTCAATTTCTTGGGTTGCTACAGATCGGCAGCCCTTTCCACGTGGAATCGCAAATAGCTGTATAATTATTCTCAGATATGTTTTAGTCTAACCAACTTGTTATGTTTTACATTGCTCGTACATGTTGTTACTGATGGGCATGTGCGTATGCGCCACGATAGCTGTAGTGCTATTTTAAAAATTAGCAATCTCGAACCATGATTCTTAAGGCATTCAGGCACCAATATTATTGCGGAAAAGTGTACTCAGCATACTACTTACCCCCCACATAACGGCGATCAGACGCACTATAACCTAGTTGCACGTATGTCGTTGTGGCGTACGGTTACTATCGGAACCTCGCCAAAGTTTGTATTTAAAACAATATTCTCAGGAGGCCTGACCAGCATAGCCAAGACTGACTCAAACGCCCGCCGCAAACGGTCGAATTAACTTCTTGCCCACCACTTCTATCTCAAAGCTCTAGGATATGCAATCCTTATTAAGACATTAATTAATTTTAGATACTGGCTGTGAACCGCACCTTCCTTTGTAGAAACGCAACCGTACGAACGCAACAACATACGCTGGCATTCGTCATCTTACCAGGCAAAATAAACACTGTTGTCAGTGACTACTGAAAGATATAAGTCACTTACAATGCTTTGGATTTGCTAGCAGAGATGCCCGTATGCAGCAAAAGCATCTACGGAGGGCCACGCACCAGATGTATATTGTCCACTTAGGTTAATTTTAGGATTTGTAACTTTGCCTCAGTGTGACGTACCTGCGTTGGGCGTACGTTCCTGCTTCGCCTCTTACTGTTGCCTGTCGGCTGTTATTAAGTCGCAATTATGACAGATAGGCGCTCTATTTGTCTGTAATTACATAAGGATGCGTCCTCAGCTCTAGGCATCTTCGACCCGAGTTCAAAAAAGAGGTCGAGGATGCAACCGCCGCTATACTCTTGGGAAGAGGTCCTCGCCCATCGTGCTAAGCCAGCCACAGACAATACAGAAAGTGCTACAGCCCCGGATTTCTCAGAGATTGCTTTTCCTTGGTGCGTCTGCACCAGCGTACCGGCTGCGCGGAGCTCTTCCCACTCCGGCTGCGGCGCTGCCCCGCGAGCTTCTGCCCGGCCGCAATGCCAGGGCAGCTTCTTCGAAGCCATCTTCTATGGCCAAGACCAGAATAATACACGATGCGGAGCTTTGGGGGCTAAAGCATGCGGACAGATTTCATGTCGTCGCCTCCCCCTGTTGGTGGTGGCGGTGCTACTGCTGTGCGCCTGTAGCCGCAGAGCCATTGCTGCACCGCTGGGACAGCCACCGACTACCCGTGAGGGCGGCTCACCGCCCACATTACCGCCCAATGCACCACCATCACCACCACCTCCGTCGTCTCAGGCTTCGGGGACGGCCCCCAGCACGGAAAGAGCACCACCACCACCACCTAAGAAAAAGCGGCCGCCGCCGGTATCATCGTCACCGAACCGCCTCGGCATAAGCCTCGTTTCAAGACCTAAGTAAGCGAGACACCTTCCAGCTAGCAAGCATATGCAATTTCTACAGCTGCGTGCCAGATATAATGAATTGCATGTATGTACTGCTTGCCCTTGGCTGGCCTGGAATATGTATCCCTTCCGAAGTCCTTTCCTTAGCTTGTGGCTTTGTGCTGCCTTACACTCATGCAATTTACTTACACAAATTATACGTCGTTCACGGATTCCATGTTGTAGTGGACTCACTTCGGACCGCCGGGGCGTTTTATGCACCGTACCGACCCTCCCTGCAGTTACCTGCAGACGGCGAAATCTTCATTAGCGCAACTGAGGATCTCTGAAGCAAGTAAGTTCACCCATTAATGAGTTTGAAGTCTTGTATAGTCTGCCATAGCCTCAAGGAAGCATGATGCCCTTAAGCGGCCAAGGGGTTCTGCATGCACATGTAAGATGGACAGGAGGACTAAACTTGGGTGGTACACAAATGGTGTACAGTTCATGTGGCCGCTTAGTTTTGTTGTGGTAGTTTAGGATCCGTGGTGAAGTAACTGGTTGCTTTTTCGAAAATAGGTTTCTGGCTGGGCTTATCATGACAAAGGCATGACAAATAGGGTAGCTGCTCAGTTGAAGCTATGAAAAAGGGCACAGTCACTGAAAGCCTGTATATTGACGATTGCGGCTAGGTTTTGGAACCGCTTCAAATTTAACCCGGGGCGGAACGAGAAAGCTCATCGCCATTACGAAAAACCTGTTCACGAGGAGGCGTCCGTTTAAAACCATCCGTGAGGAACGAATTACTGTCGTCGAGGATGAGTTCCTGGGGCCGCTCTTAAGTTGATATGTGTGCACCCGATTGTACACACGGACCTGCTAGCGCATAAAGATAACTTCAAAACATCCTCTTGGTGCGGTGCATTTGTGGCAGCAAGCGTGCCTTGTGGAGTTTTAGATGGTTGAGGTGGCTAGTAGCAGTAGCTGTTGACACATTATTTTAATCTCTTGATGACCTTTACTCTGTTACTCGACTGTTACTCTCGAACGGGTTTACTTCGGTTTCCTTAGCAGTTTGCAGTCTGCCTGGTACGATCATTTTTTTCGAACCGACGAAGAGCAGCAGACATTGCATAAAGACACCAACCCTCGAGTCGCGGACCTACGAGGTCCTGCGCGCAAAGCTATAATTACCTCTTACAGCGTCATATCCGGAAACTCCTAAATCGAGCCTAGCTACATCTTTCGCGTTTCGCGCGACAGTTCCTAGACTTCAGCAGTACCGAAAGGACCCCGAACGGCTTGAAACGGATGCGCTGAGGTGCGATCCCCAATAAATACTACAAAATACACCAACAATATTACGTACAAGTAACCTGTCATGCCAATATCTCAGCATTATTGTGCACGGCTTGGCCTAATAGTATTGCTGGTAAGGTAATGCTGTACGAATGGAAAATGCACGTGCACCCACTTGGCTTTCCCTCCCATATCCCACCAGCATGTGGACCAAGTGCCCTGTGACTTTTACATTCCCTCGCTTTAACAATGCAGTGCAAAAGGCGCGGCAAATTGACTTGCGATTGTTTCGCTTTGAATCTGTAAAGCTAGCCCTGTCTGGCGCTACAGCAATCCATCCCGAACGCCGCACATCTAGCCCACAAGTTCTAGTTCACATGCCACATTTGATTAAACAAGGCAACGCAAGGCGCCCTCGTGTCTTATCTCGACTAACACATCCTTCTGGTTGCCAAACCCTGATACCGTCGACATCGCGCCGCGGTGCCAGCAGCATCCAGCCTGGCGTCTACCAGCTGCGTCTTGGGGCCACCAGCGCCTGGCGGCGGCGCGCAGGCAGAAGCCGACATTTTCACGCCTGTGGTCGGGGGCAAAGGAGGCTTTCCTAGCGGTCACCGGTGGGTGGGTTGGTCCCTGTTGCTCTGGCCGGCTTCATGCTCCTGGTTGCCTGTCTTAACTGGGTTGCAAGAGGGGCGAATGGTTTGTCTGCCGTGCTGTGGGCCAATGAGGAGACAGGATACGGCGCGGCCCAGCTGCGCACATGACCCACATTGACGTCGTATAGCTGAACGGATACGACACATGCACTGAAGCAGTTTTTTTACCTGAATTGCCTTGCCGGACAGTTGGATGTGGGCCTACACAGATGTGTACTCTCAGTGCAGACCGTATCTGACAATTCTTACGGAGGCTGATGGCCATGGACTGTTGTCCTTGGCTGCCTTGGTGCATGCTAGGTAACGGCTTTGGTAACGGCTGCCTTTCCTCCGATGTCAATGCGCTCATCAAGCGCGTGGCTTCCACTAAAACCTAGCAACGCTCTTCCGGGCACTCCCCTGGCCCCGCCCTCCTCCCATTTTCCCGCGGCCGTACTCAGCTTCCCGTCATCCGCTAATGGTACCGACTGTGGCTGCGGATCTTCGCCGTACAGCTTGGTCTGGGGCGATGACGTCCAAATAGGGACCAGGTGTGTGTTGATTTGAAACCTTAATTCGCGGCAAGCAAGCACGAAGGCGTCGGGAAGTTATGCGCAGACGCAGTCTTAGAGTCACAGGTACCCGTCAGGAAGTTCAGATGCGGCTTTCAGGAGCCGAATTGCAGCATGGACACATGTATGTATGTATGTATGTATGTGAGTGCGTGTCAACTTAACTTGCGTTATCCTTCTATATGCGCCATGTATTTATGCTATCTACTCCCCATGGTGCGACTCGTGCTTTGAACAACCCTTTTCTTGAGGGTGTAGAAAAGGAAACTTGTTTTGAGTCCTGGGACTGGATTAGAATGTTTTTGGGTTCCCCATGTGCCCCTACGTTCTAAAAAGGTGACTCTAACGAGTGTGCTGAATATGAGCCTAGTTGGTTCCTCCAAGTGTATCACTCGTTGCCGTACGAGACGATATCGTAACGTAACGCAACATTTCCTCGTGACAGAAAAGCGAGCTTGCCCTGGTCCTCTTATCTCCACCTCCATCCGCACATTGCTCGCTCGTTCAATCATACACATGATTACAGCGAGCAGTAACTTCGGCGCGCTCGGCTCCTTTCGTTGCTAAGGAGCACCTGCTGCTGCACCTGTTGCGCTCCGTGAACGTCGCTCCTGCCGTCCTCTTAGCAGCAGCAGCCACACGGCTGTCGTACCACTTTGTAGCCATGGTACGTACAACTAACGACAAACCGCTCCGTTTGTTCCGTTTTCCGTTGCATTCTCGCTCCATAGGCAGTTTTATTCGTTCAGTTTGGTTCCAATGCCAGCCTCCGCACGTTCCGGCACCCTCGCCGCAGCGCGGGGCCTGCTGAGTTGGCTGACGATACAAATGGACCCTACCAGAGCTGCGGCATGTTATCGCGTGGACTCCACGGCAGGCACGAAGCCAGGCAGCCTGGGCTTAACTTTTAGGGGAGGAGCCTATTTCACACCCTTCTCGCCCTTTGCTGGCAACTACCCAGTCGGCCTCCCTGTCCCGTCCTTGGCTGGTGAGTTCTTACACCCCCATGCATTCCCCCCACCCCGTGTGGATATGTGTGTTTGTGTGTTGCATTTGCACCTAGAGTTGCCGTACTCTCCAAATGACATGTCGGGGTGAATTTGGTAAATCTGAGTGTGAATGGATCCGGAGCAGTAGACAAGCGGAGAGCGAGTGCGGGTGGACGGAGCGGTCTCAGGACGGTGTGGCACCGCACTGAAGTGTTCTTAGTACAACGTTTCCGACATGTGCCGTACTTTCAAGCGTGCATGGGGCTTTCTACGGGGTCAAAAAGCAAAGAGAGTATAATGGTGTGTACTTTAGGGTACTGTAATGACAACAAACTATTTAGTTGTTGTGATAGTACAGGATCTGAGAACCAGGTGAAATGGAGGAGAACCGTGCCGTATTATGTATCTGTAACGGGTGATGTGTGCGCTATACGGCAGCGATAGCGTTCGCAATCCAGCAGTCGGAAGAAAAGGGAAAGGAGGGCAAGGAGAGAAGGGGGGAAAATGGGGCCACGACGGGGAGGCAGATGCCGCACTCAGACCAATGTGCCAGGTGACGTTTGCCACCTGTTCAGCTTTGCATGCCGCATGTCCTATCTATGCACCCACATTCCCCGGATGCACTGCTTCAAACCTGATATTGATATAATGGCCGCCTCTGAGGAAAGCACATCTTGACATCAATGCAGGGTTTTCATCTTCTGGATTGGAGCTCTCTTTGAATTTGACGGATCTTCGCAAGCGCCTCGCTACCGCAACGGCGAATGCATTGCCGTCTGATCTACCACCAATGGGAGTCGATCCCCTGACTATGGGTCAGTTCACCTTGGGGAAATGCAGCGAGTGGCCCGTAGAAAGCCTTTGCTATTCTACTACGTACGACACGCTCAACACCAACAAAACGTCATGCTTGGTCGCGTTCGTCTGGCCATCAGATGCTCAGCCGATCTCGCCGCCACCGCCGCGACCTCCACCCTCACCGCCGCCGCCAAAGTCGACGAGGTCGCCGCCCTTCAGTATTCGGAATGCAACAGCCCAGGCGGCCGTAGCGCTACCCCTATCCGTGTGCTACAGCCTTCGGGAAGGAGACTTAGTGCCCCTGGAGCCCCCGGAGTCCCCGTATCCACCATCACCAAGGCCTCCACGACCGCGGTCCCCACCACCTGCGGTTCAAACATCCCAACCACCGCCACAGCAACCGCCGCCTGTGCGACAGCGGCCGCCGCCATTGTCAGTTGTGCGGCCACCACCGCCGCCGCCAAATGGAACGGCTCTAAGCCAAATATCGCCACAGATCTCTGACCCGCTTTACCCATTAGTCTCACCCCCACCATTCCCTCCGCCACCATCTCCACAGCCGCCGCCACCGCCACCATCCCCGCAGCCGACGCCGCCGCCACCATCTCCACAGCCGCCGCCGCCGCCACCATCTCCACAGCCGCCGCCGCCGCCACCATCTCCACAACCGCCGCCACCGCCACCATCCCCGCAGCCGTCGCCGCCGCCACCATCTCCACAACCGCCGCC